CAAAATGAGATAAAGAAATAGCGCCCAATAGATTTATGGGCTTGCAGCTAGTTTCTAGCTTGACCACGTAGCAACCCATACCCTTTTTTCGGTCTGTTGTGGAGGTGTGCGCTTGGACAGAATTGACATTGTCCAGTCATTTTCCCACCACCACCCTTGTCGCATTGTTCATTTACTATACGGATTGGAAAATACTAGACACCGCGACACTTGTAATGAGGTTTAATATCAAAATTGCCAGCGTAGGGGGATTGATGGACGTTTTGTTGATCCGCCTCTAGGGCCGGACCTGGAGATTTATACTCAACCGAGAGGATATCACCAAGAGAACCAAACCGTTTCAATTCCCGAAATAACCCCTTTCATAATATCGCATGACCCTACGGAGTTGTCTCGCATGATCTGCAACTTGGATTTACCCCTCCTCGGACCTACGTAAGAAGGTTAAAAAGGAATCCCGCATCGACGTTGTATAGCATTCCTTTCTCCTTGGAACATGGCTACAAAAGGGAGATCGGAATATAGCAAATCCGTGATCCCACAGTTTTATTGATTTCTTAAGAAAATAGCCGATGAAAAGGGGGGAACATTTCTGCTTGGTGGAGTCAGGCGGTGATGCTGAGAGACTGGGCGCAAAAGGTCCTTTTGGATATGAATTGACGATGAAGATCATCGGATCCGAGAACGTGGGTATTGTCTATATAGTTTACTCCGAAACTGCCCATTTCCTCTGATCTAAAGCCCCGCACCACCTAGCGAGACTGAAAAAAGCTGACGACAGTCGCAATGATAGGAGTGGGTTTCGGTTGATCACAAAGCTGCCAAACAGGAACCGCTTGATTCCGGGTGTCCCACCTCTTGTGACGGCGGTGTGGCTCTCACGTGGTCTCGTGTCGATAGCGCGTCAGATCTAGATTATGCCATAAAAGGGCGATTGCACTCACAACTATAGATTTTTTTAGATTATTCTTGTTGGAATCTATGTATAACTAGTGAATATACTCCTGGATAATTTTATGTATTCTTTAAGCTCATTTGGGGTGTTCTTGAATCGAAAATGATGTTCAACAGATGTTGAGGGAGACGCGCCGATAAGGTTAATGACGTCAAATAGCTGGCAAACAGTGCAAACTATATACAAACAGAGCAAATATTTAGCCCTTTATCAACGTACCGACTCCCGACCTCGGGATGTCCCAGCCTTGGAACCTTGGATTGATATCAATTTGCCAAGTTATGCATGTTTAGAAACCCCTAATTGGATACTCTCACCATAGGTGGACAACATATGAAATTGGGCCCCTAGAACAGAACAAAGCCAGGAGCTAGTTGGAGGTATCATATTTTGTCTTACGGATCTACTTCGGTTGATAGACCGACCTACTCCAAACTTTCGATTAGAGCACTGGGAAATTAAGCTGCAACAAATCTAGATCTTTCTTCCTTTATGAAGGGTTATGCATGGAAAATTCGCTGGCACATTTTGAAACATTCTTACCGCCTATATCCCAACTACAACACCAATAAGGGGGAAATAACTAAACAAAAGACTACTAAGGAAATCTCTAAAAAGACATGACAAGGCCGCATATGCCGACCATTCTTGTATCATATAAATCAAGACTCCCATAGACTATGAGCCTAGCACAAGATGAGGCGTATGTTGTAAGTAGGTGTCCCAGTTTGCACGGTAGGAAGGTGTGGGCGACCGTAGCTTCCGATTTAGGAATAGCGTACATTGTCAACAAGGCACATCTTCAGGAACAAGGGACAACACAACCTCCCTTCGTCGCGGTAACTGTCACTTCGGATCTCATTCATTCATTTTCGTTCACCCAGTTCCAGTGTCACCTACTCCACCTAGGCAACGCACTTCAAGTGACGTTCAAGTGACGAGCTTGGAATAAATTGGGAAGGGACGACTGAGCGGGTCCTAACGGACTGTTTATTTTGCCCGGGTCGGCCAATCACGCAGGGCAACTCCGCTCCCCCAACTGAGCAAAAAGTAAACAACATCTCTTTACCAACTTCAAGATAGACTTAACACCACGTCTTGCAACTTCATTGTTCGCGATCATGGATGCCAAGGTATGTTAGCTTTTTTGTTGAAGCTTTGATTTCCTCGATTCCTCTATTCATACGCGTCAAGCGCGCGTAAAACGATACCGCGTTCAATGGCGCATCATCTCATGTATTTGCACGCTCGGTCTACAGTTGCTTGATTGTTAACCAAAATTGGAGGTACCGATGCTAACTGGAATTGCAGCCACAGCGCTTCCGAGCCGTTGGGGATGAGAATGTGCCCCCTCCATCCCTGCATCAAACCCATAAGGTCATCCATCAACGAAACAAGTCAAGCCCTGCACTGAGTATGATGGCCCAGAACAATGCTGGCCGACGTGCGTTTGTCGATGTCAGCAACACCAAGGAAATGAGCCGGGCTAGTCGGGATGACTCTGGCGTTGGTGGAAAGCCTGCCCTAGTGGAGGTTAAGGCTCCTGGGCTGTCCCAGCCAGCCCAGCGCCGCATGACCCTGTCAGGAACCAGGGGTCCTGTTGAAAACATAGCCACAACAAAGCCTATGAACCCTGCTGGCAAGGCGCCACTGGCGTACAAATCGAAGCGAAGCAACGCTATTTACAAAGACCAACTGCACACTGTCCCCGAAAAAGATACATCCAAGGAAGCCAACACAGATACGGAGGCCAAGGCCAGCCACAAGGGAGCAGATAAAGGGCGCCACTCGAATAATATTGTGGTGGAGCCTTCACTGGATATTGCCAGCCTCGTCGAGTCTGATGCCACCGTATCCGAGACCGAAGATGCGAAAGACCACGCACATGTGAAAGAACCCGTGCCAGCGGTATCAGAGCCCGAGGAATGGGACGGAGAAGATACCGAGTATCATGTTGCACCCACCTACTCCTCTCGTGGGGATAGCTCCGACGGCACTACCGTTATTTATCCATGCATGAACAACATCACGACTCGTGAGATGTTCCGGGCGAAAGACATTGTTGAAAGCGAGCAAACACAAGAAGACATTGACGAGGAATTGTTGGATACAACCATGGTCGCGGAGTATGGCGATGAGATTTTCCTTCATTTAAGGAAGAAAGAGGTATGTTTTACTTCTTCAATACTGGATAACCAATTTGAACTAATCAAGTCTGTAGATCGAGATGCTTCCGGTCCCTGATTACATGGCCCGTCAAAGTGAACTTCAATGGTCGATGCGCTCAGTTCTAATGGACTGGCTTGTTCAAGTTCACCAGCGCTTCAACTTGCTCCCTGAAACTCTGTTCCTTACGGTCAACTATATCGACCGTTTCCTGTCATACAAGGTGGTTTCCATGGGCAAGTTGCAGCTTGTTGGTGCGACTGCGATCTTCATTGCTGCCAAATTCGAGGAGATCACAGCACCGTCGGTGCAAGAGATTGTTTATATGGTTGACAGTGGATATTCTGTCGACGAGATTCTGAAAGCAGAGCGGTTCATGCTCACCATTCTCGACTTTGATCTTGGATGGCCTGGCCCTATGAGTTTCCTCCGCCGCATTAGCAAGGCTGATGAATATGACCTTGAAACTCGTACTGTTGCCAAGTACTTCCTTGAGCTGGCTATTATGGATGAGCGCTTTGTCTGCACTCCCCCCAGCTTCATTGCTGCCGGAGCCCATTGCCTGTCTCGTTTGCTGCTTAATAAGGGCAACTGGGTATGTCCGCCTCTCCATTGAATCTATTGTAACACTGCTAACACTCAGCAATAGACACCGGCACACGCCTTTTACAGCGGTTACCTCTATTCCCAGCTGATCCCGGTACTGAGCACACTGATGGAATGCTGTGAGAACCCTCGCCGCCACCACGCCGCTATCTTTGAAAAGTATTCGGACCGTCGCTTTAAGCGTGCCTCGATGTTTGTTGAAGCAGAGCTTGCCACGGACTTCGTTTTGCCTGAGGCCTCTGCTCTCAATGATCCAGATCGGTTGGACGGCTATGCAAACTTCTAATTCCCTGTCTCAGACTAATACCCCGTTGGTGTGCAAATACCATGCATAGCTGGCTTTCATGATTGCTAGTCCTCACCACCATACACGATCTCTAAACTTCTTTCTTCCGGTCAATATGGCGCTTTTTTTTTCTCTTTTTCCTTTTCTTTCGGAGTGAACTGGCGAATCGGTTCTTTTTATGCATGGCGTTTGCGCGTTATTCCAGTCTTTTCCACCGCCTTCATTCTGTCATTTGTTTTGCTCCTTTTGATTTCTTCCCAGCTCTACTGGGCTGACGACGGGATGACTTGACGCCACCATTTTCCGAACATGAGAATAAATGATCGGAAGGCGTTGACGATGATCTGTTTCTCGCCGGGCGTTCTAACTGCCTTTTTCTTCTTTTTTTGTTTTGTTCTGGGGAAACGGCTTAGTGGTGGTAACTGGGTTAACCGTTGATACACTCTCTATCTACACAAGTCACCTGACTGGCTCTGCGCCACCTTCTGTATGTTGTACTGTCCTAGTAATAGTCGAATATGACGTCATATTTCTATAACTACACAACGTACCCCCAGAGTATAACCCCCTAGGTAGTAACTACACGGGTGTATCATATCCATGTGATGCATCTGTGTTGTATGGTCTTTTGTGGTATCAATTGTCGTGGTATTCATTCTCTTGGTCTGGATTATATATTTCAAGTGATATCTATATTGCGCTGGTCTCTGGGCACAATAGACCAACGGTAACCCTTCTACGTGAATTATTGAAATTATTACACGATATCAATAGAATCTACATCATACTTAGATTTCCCTAGGAATAATAACATGAAGCACGCATGTTGGGCTTATCACTTCATGATAATACATAAGAAGGTACAGGGCAGTATAAAACCGAAACCGCACAGATGATGGGATGTCTCGTAAATCATGTCGATTGTCTTCCCATCTAAGATGATATATGCGCTGTATCTATTTTGAACCCAAAGCCGACCTATACAGATCACTGATCAAGCCCATTAAACTCAATCAACTTCTTGACGGCCTCGATCACTCTATCAGCAAGACTACTGCCATCGGATACAACCGAGGGATTATCAAATCGCTCCGTCAGAGCCTCATCCAGCATGGTGCGAAGCCGTGAAACAAGCACGCCGATCCGGGCCCAACCGCGTAGACGGAGCCAGCCGTCTACAACTAGTCCGCGACCCACGGTGTCGAGCTCTATAGAACCGCAGAAGAGAAGTAGGGAATATGCGTTGAAAGCTGCAAGAAAGAAAATAATGTTAGAAGCTAATATCTCGAGGGGTAGAAATAACTCACGGGTGAGGTCGCGGATGAAGACCTTGCTGGTAGCCATCTTGGTAAAGTAGCTGAGATACGCCGCGGAACTGGGGTAGCCAGCCGCAGAGAAGAGAATGGAGCTGGGGTGAATGAAGACACGGCCGTTCTCCTGATTGAAGTACTTGATAGTGCGAGCATCCGGGTCTACCTCGACGGTACCGGTAACAGAGCTGGCGAACTTCTTATCCGGGAACGAGATTTGCGCAACCTGGGGCTGGAAGGCTCCAGCAACAAGAGCGCGGATCAAGTTGCGGTTGGCTGCGTTGCGGTTCCAGGCCGAGGCCAAAGAATCGGAATACTGGACTGGCAGGACACCTGCGTCTTTGAGGGAGGTGATAAACTGCGCGCGGTTGGAGGAGATATCGCGCAGCGTCTGGTGGGAGAGGAAGTTGGCCGCACACCATGACTGGGTACCCCAGTAGCCGCCCTGGGCGCGGGTTCGCTCGGACCAGGCCTGGTATGCCGAGAGGTCGGTGAGGAGGTCGCCGTCGCCTGGGCGGGAGAAGCTTGCTTTGGCGGCGTTTGCTTCGTCGCGCTTCTCGCGTGGTGAGACGAAGGGGCTCTTGACTGTTAGCATGGCTGCGATTGTGAGGCAGGGTTCCATGCAGCCGAAGATGGAGCCGTATATCATGAGCTTGGCGCAGCGGAGGTCTGCGGGAATCATGGAGAGGTAGCGGCCCAGGGCTGTGAGTCTGTCGTGGTCTAGAGCGCCTACGCGATGCAGGAAGTTCAGTGCACCTTCGACGGCTATGCTCTCTGGTGGGGTGATGGTGTTGGCTAGGAAGGTGGCGACGTCCTCGATTCCTTTCATGGATTTAACGGATAGACACAGCTGCTCGAGGGGAACACGGCGGATTTCTGGGTCTGGTCGTGGGGCCATATTTGATTCGGCTTTGCGGGTGTATAGCTTATAGCAGATACCTGCGCGGACACGGCCTGCTCGACCACGACGCTGTTTGCAGGCGGCCTGTGATGCCCATACTTCTTGGAGACGGACCATGTTGTCCTTAGGGTCGTAGCTCGTTTCCTTGACTCGACCGGTGTCAATGACGGCAACAACATCCTCAATTGTGATTGAGGTTTCTGCGACGTTTGTAGCCGCAATAACCTTTCTCTTTCCTCTTGGTGCGCTCTGGAATACTCGTCGTTGTTCGGCTGGGAGCAAGGAGGCATGCAATGGCAGAGGATGCATGTCGGGAATCCTCTTGACTGCGTTTAGACACCTATCAATCTCTAAAGTACCAGGTAGGAAGATCAAGATGCCTCCTGGCTGGTCTCCTAGCTGAGCATCGATATATTCGACAGTTGCTGCGATCAAATCGTAATTGATTCCCATACCCAAACTCCGTAGGGCTTTCCCAAGTGTTTCTTCACCCCGAGAGGGTTCTTCTTCTTCATCTTCATAGCCCTCGGCAAGTTCTGGGGCAAATGATGTATACCGGATAACGTCATCCAAGTAGTAGTCCTCGACAGGGAATGTTCGGCCAGGAATGTTCACCAGTCCAACAGATCTCTGACTGCCAAAGTATCTCATAAAGATGCCAGCATCGAGGGTGGCACTCATGAGAATAACTTTCAGGTCCTTGCGGTAATTTAGAACATCCCTCAGCAGTGCCAATAAGAAGTCTGTATCCAGACTTCGCTCGTGGACCTCGTCGACCACTACGTGCGATACGTCTGCGAGGGAGCTTGCGACATTTCCATCCGCATCACCACCTGATTGGATCCGGCGCAACAAGACACCAGTAGTCACGAAAGTAATCTTTGTTGAACCAGGCTTGGCTTTCGACTCGCCTCGGATCACATATCCGACTTCATCACCGACTACTGCGCATCGCTCATCACTGACTCTGTCGGCAAGACCCAGGGCCGAAATTCGTCGTGGCTGCGTGCAGATAATGTTGGCAGCGCCTCCCAGTCCTCGCTGGATCATGTCGTCCAGCACAAACTGTACGGATTGTGTACTTTTACCACTGCCAGTCTCACCCGAGATGATAGTCACCTGGTTTGAGTTGATAGCATGGATGATTTCATGTTGGATGTTCCATGCAGGGAGTGCTTTTCTTTTGCGGGTCATCTCGATCTGCGCCGCTGTATCTTGTTTGGCCTCCCAAGCATCTCGGATCGCCAAGCTTCGTTCTGAGTCGACCTTCCAGTCAATACCTCTGCGGTTCTTCCGAGCTGAACGCACAGGAATTTGGTGGGTCTCAGCTGACGACGAAGCCGTCACAGCGGAAATCTCTCGCAATTTACCTGGGTTCTCCATGATGCTCGCCAGGTTGACTTCCAGCCAATCCATAATGTTGAAAATCATAGATTCACCCGTAAAGTTGTCCTCGGCATACTGCACTGCCCGACGGATTGCACTAAGACGTATATAAGCTGGGACCCCCTTGGCCTGGATTGATATAATAGGAGGCGTAGTTGGATAATGGGCGGTGGGCTTTTGGAAGCGGAAAATTGTGTTTTGTGGAATGTCCGGTGCCTCGCTATTGATCTCGCAGACCTTGGCTGATATGCGGTGATAACGTTCTCCAAAGATAGCCTCCAGTGTAGTTGCTTCTTCTGCCCAAGCCTCTTCATCTTCGTCCGCCACTGATGGGGCCGAGAATTGAGTTCCATGGGCTAAAGTGCCCTGCAAATGCTCAGCAGCCGCCAATTCGTCGCCATTCTTGCCGTCCAAAATTTGCGAGCACATGTCGGCTGGATAGCCAACAGATGCCAGCCGTTTGATTTTGCCCTCACGAGCGAGATCACCAGAACCAAGACTGACTCCAGCTGAATATCCTTCCGGCAGAGACCACCGTGGGAGGTCATCATCAGGAACATAGATGAGAAGCCACTCCAAGATCTCTTCGCGGTCTTTGCATTCCGCTGCAGCTTCTTCCACATGGCTGCGACGGAACCCTAGGCCGGTGAATTCGTCCGCAATGATTTTCTTTTGGCTTTCGGGGATCTTAACGCCATATGGGTTCCAAACCGTATGTTGCCGCAAAAGGCCTTCGATATCTCGTCGAATCCGTGTGCCCATATCCACCTTGGGCGCTTGCGACCAGATACGTTTACTCCTGGCATCTCCATTTCCTAGCCCTAATTCCGCATTTGAGGCCTTCTCCTTTGCCTGGGCTTTTTCACGATCTGCTCGCTTCTTTGCCAAATCTGCGGCCGCGCTCTCTCTTTCTTGCTTGGCTAAGAATGGATCTGCCTCGTACATCCAGCCCTTGCCTTCCCGAGTCTCTGCTGCTTTAATTTCTCCAAAGTCCTCCTTCCACAATTTCTTGTACGTCGGAGGCATCATCATGTGAATATTGCGCATATTGCATACTCGGAAGAGAGCAAACGCTGCACCGAAATGGCGCGCTTCGAGGGCTGTCGGCTGCCCAGCGAGTTGCTTATGGGAGGGAGGGAGCTTAATTGGAGGGATCACGATCAATTCCTTGGTTTTAGGATCTATCTTCTTCATCGTTACGGATGAAACAAAGCCGTCGGCGGTTTTAACCTGCAATCATCACAATATATCAGCATCTGATCTGGTATATGTGTCTGTAGACATGCGACGAGTGTCATGGGGAGTTTTGATTACCATGCTGTACTCAGGCTTTTCCCATTTTTGCTTCTGACAGTGCTCCGCCAACATATTGACTGGTAGCTTCCCTGTCCATGATGCGCCGCCAATGACATCCTTCACAGACGGTTTCTTGGGCTCCTCCGGCACTTGCTTCTTCACTTCGCCGGCTTTCTCTGCGACGGCTTTGGCTTGTTTAGTACCCGGTTTGGGGCCTCCCTTACCATCGCCTTTCTTCTTAGGTGGCATTTTGTGTGTGTGGAGAGTGTTTGCGCAAAAGATAACTTTTGGAGCTTCAGGCAAAAGAGCGACCCGCACTAAACCGCTTTGGGATTGCGGGGAGCATACGGAGGAGTGCAGCGACCATGGGAGACTTAACTTTCAACAGGCGCATATCTTATAGTCTTACTCGGTCCACCGATGTGAGGCTTTGATTTCCTTGTCCAAAGGCAATGCTGCAGTTAATATCTACTGTATGACCACGAGTCAAGCTTCTACACCAACCATCATGTCTGGGGAGCACTCTAATCCGAGCAAGGGTGACCCAAAGGAGCAAACTGGGACATCGGAAAAGAGAAATGCCTGTAAGATACCCAGAGCCTTGTTGCTGAAAACCATTTGACTGATATATCGGTCTAATAGTTACCGAACTCCTGGCTCCCAAAAGCAAGCAACCCAAGCACGCAACTAAAACCCCATCTGATCGCAACGCGGCCAAGGGCAGGACTGCATTTGGTGTCCGCGACGGACTCGGTGCCTACATCGCGAAGCCTGAGACATACGCCCCCGATGTCGTAATTTACCATAATGACGACTTCGTGGCCATCCACGACATGTTCCCAAAGTCATCGTTACACCTTCTCCTTCTCCCCCGCGACCAGACCAAAACGCGCGTGCATCCATTTGATGCGTTCGAGGACGCCGAGTTCCTAGAAAAAGTGAAGACCGAAACCCGAACACTCCGCAAGCTCGCAGCGGGCGAGCTGCGACGCAAATATGGGAAGGACTCTGCGCAGGAGCAGGCGAGACAGGCGGCGCTGAGCGCTGATCCGCCGCCTGACGAGCTACCGCAGGGTCGAGACTGGGAACGGGAGATTGTGGTCGGGGTGCATGCGGTCCCATCCATGAACCACTTGCATGTCCATGTATTATCGGTGGATAGGTATAGCGAGCGCTTGAAGCACCGGAAACACTACAATAGCTTTTCGACACCATTCTTCGTGCCAATCGAGGACTTCCCGCTGGCACAAGATGATGTGCGACGAAATCCAACGGAAGAGGGGTATCTAAAACGAGACTTTACTTGCTGGCGCTGTGCTAGGGGCTTTGGGAATCGGTTTGCCGAATTGAAGCAACATCTGGAGCAGGAGTTTAAAGAATGGAAGAAGCTGTGAGCTATCGGGGTGTGCTTGTGAAGATATACCAGTACTGCCAAAACAGGCACAGCATGGTATATAATGGATTGAACTCTCCAAAAGTGATCCTGTTTGGCATCCATAGGAGCTAAACTGGGCCAAAATCTTCTATCTGGTAGATATACATGTCCCTGGTGACAAGCAGCAGGGGCTGGTGCATTTCCAGCACGTGCCCAAGGCTGCCCTTACACTAGACCAAAACCCCGACAATGGTATCCATTGAACGGAATTGCCCCCTTCTTCCATCCGCGATGAGTGTCGCGTGTGCATTTACGCACGGGCCTTAGAGCGGCCCTTGACCTTGCGGGCCTCGGGGCGGTTGATGTGGTGAGAGGGGATCCAATCGGCGTTGTAGGCGCTGGCAGAAGAAACCGCAGCGCCGGTAGAAGGCTCCTCAGTAACTGGGGTCTCAACGCGCTTAGCGCCACCCGGGGCGCGCTTCTCGCTGGTCTTTCCGGACTTGCGCTTCTGGGGGAAGTAGGGAGCGACCCAAACGGTGTAGAAGAAGTAACCAGTGCCAGAGACACAGGCAAGCAGGAAGAAGTAGAGGAAGATGCTAATTAGTATTGTTAGTTGAATTGCCCTCACGCGACCAAAGTAAAAGGGGGGCGTCCTACATCTGGGGGTCGAAGATGCTGGTATCCGCCTCCACAATGCTAACAGTGCCATTGTGGGCAACAATAGGAACCAAGCGGCCCTCGCTGTCTGAAATAATGGCAGAAAGAGTCATCTGGAGATCCTGGGGGTGCATCTCGGTGGCGAAGCTGTAGCTGATTGTCTCCTTCTCGCCAGCGGGAACCTCGATGGCATAACGAGTAGCAGTCAAGTTGCGGACAATTTTGGCCTGGTCATCGGGGTTCCGAAGACTACCGCCGACAAAGTTCACCGTGATAGGGTTCGGCTCATCGTTGGAGATGGCAATCAGCGCCTGGGTAGGGTGACCGTTGACAAGTTTGATACCGAAGATCTCGGAAGCAGGGAAAGAGGCCTGGGCCGAGACAGCCAGAGCAGGAACCTCTGCTTCAGCATTCTCGGCATCCTACAAGTTGAAAACCAAACAATTAGTCAATTGAGTCATGCGACGTGGTCCCCGAGACAAATCAAGACGAAACACATACAGCAGCAAAGCCGGTGCCAACGAAGGCCTGGAGAGAGAGTAGAGCCAAAGAGAGGAAACCAAAGCGAGTCATCTTGAAACCGGAAGAGAGAAAAGAAAGAGAAAGAGAAACAGAAACAGGAGAAAGGTCAAGGTCAAGATGAGATGAAGGGGAATATTTGGCTCCACGTATGCAAAACCGGGGGGCTGACTCAGCCAGATAGCACCCGCGGTCTTAGATTGATTTTTTTTATTGGAATCAAAGACAACTGAGTATAAATTCTCTTCTTATATCAATTAATTTAATTAAGTGAGGTGGTCACTGATCATTGGGGATTACAGTGATTTCAACACTTTACGCGCTTTGTAGATTGTCACCTCCTGCAAGCGCTTGCCCACCGGAATTTCCCTGTTCGCTTTGATCAGACTTGAAACTTGCTTCTCTCCCTTACCTTCTCTCTTCTCTTCTGTCGCATTCATCCTCTTCGCAATTCCAACACTTTTCAGATATTCAAACGATCTTCATCGATTTACAAAAATGGCGACCCAAGCTTATTTAGAGCGCTATCGCCAGCTAAGTGCGCTGGACCAGCAGAAGAATGACTTCATTGAGGTACCAACAATTCCTTCCTTAGTCCTTGATTCATTCTCACAAGACTCATGATTAGGAACTCCTTCAACGTGTGACCGCCCTAGAGAATTCCTTCCAACAAGAGAAACTCGATCATGAACGCGAAACCCGGTTCAATCGTGAGGTTCAGGTACATGAAATGGAGCTGATGGACCAGATATCAGTTGTCAAGAAAATGATGGTGAGCACAGCCCTGGATGCATTGCCTAAGTTCGGGCTAACATATCCTTCTTTCCCCTTCCAGGACCGCGAACCATTTGTCGTGTTGCTTTTAGACGGCGAAGGAATAATATTCAAGGACGAATTTTTGCAACTAGGAGAACAGGGTGGACGCAATGCGGCCAAGCAGCTCTGGAAATCCCTCCAGGGCTATGTGACGACAATCCTTTCCACGATCACCGAGCCGAAGATAATGACCAAGATCTATCTTAATGTGAAGGGACTTATGGAGACTTACATTCGGGGCGGAATCGCCCTAGAGGCCTCCACAATCAGTGATTTTATCCGTGGATTCAATGAGAGTGCATCATTCTTCGAAATTGTGGATGTTGGAACTGGCAAAAACAAAGCGCATGATAAAATCAAGGGTATGTGGTGCAACCTGACATAGCAGAAACCGTTGCTGATTCGCTCCCTCCAGAGGCATTCAAGCTTTACTTATACAACTGCCATTGCCACCAACTCTTCCTTGGTTGTCCCTCCAATGAAGAATATGCCCGGTCATTGACAGAACTCATTTCTGGTGCGAATTATAAGGGCCGAGTCTCGCTGGTTGAGGGTCTTCCACTCGAGAAGGAATTTGATTATTTCCGAGATCAGGACTATCGAATTACCCAGTTCCCAGATGTTTTCCGAACCACAAAGATTGCTCCAATTACACTGACTGCACCGAGCGCACCGAATGCACCGTCTTGGGCTGCTCCCTGGAAAAGCGCAATCCCTTCGCGGACTTTGCTTACACCATCGCCAACCCAGCAATTCCAAACACCTGCTCCACTGTCACGAACATCTACTAGCACCAGTGTGTCAAATTTGGGTGCCCCATTAGCCCCAGTGACAATTAAACCGGAGTCTTCTGATTTCCAGGTTGTTCGGTCCAAGGTGCCTGGTACATCCCCCCCAAAGACGGTGGAGCGGAATAAGTATGGCCAACGTGTTGATCGGCTCGACTTCAAGAGCATTCCTCGCGATGATCTTAACAAACTGAAGAAGCTCAAGCTTTGCAATTATCATTTCTTGCTCGGTGAATGCCCTAATGAAGAGAATTGCTATCATGACCATGATCGCAAATTGTCCCGCCAAGACCTGCACATTCTGTCTGCCATTGCTCGCATGACACCCTGTCGCTTTGGTCTAGAATGCGATGACGTCGAGTGTATCTATGGTCATCGTTGCCCTCAGAGTGAGCCTGGTAAAAAGACTTGCTTCCGAGGCGACAGCTGCCGCTTTGAGCCTGTGGCGCATGGTATTGACACCAACATCGTCAAAGTTACGAAAATTTGAGTGGCCATCTGGCAATCTTATGCCCACCTCGGGCGATCTGAACCTTTCGCACTTGCAGTAAGGTCCTAAAATATTGTGTATTGAGTTCGGCGTGACCGGGTTTGAGGTTTCACGGGGAAAAGGTTCAAGGGAAGCACCCATGACATTATCAGAATTCGGGAGTTATGGACGGTGCATGAGAGCAGGCTTGCTATACAGCCATTGAGAATTAATCGTTGTTTTTCCTTTTCCATGCGGGTGAAAAAGACGGTTCCAGGCGCAGAAGACTCAACTATCTATCTATTGATTCGAAATTTTAAATTGTATTAGTATAAAGGATCAATCCATACAAGATTTATTTAGGGGTATTTGAATTGATATTATTACAAGACTTCCAAGGTTGGGCTAGAATTCATGTGTGGATAGTCGTGCCGAACATGGCAAATCGTCTCTCCCATCCAAAGCAATCAGGGTGAGTGCATACCTCGCCGTCGACATCCATGACATTGGGATCTTTGTCATGGGTGCACTGAACGCCATATTCCTTGATGCAACACTCGAATGGGCAGGACTTTACTGGTCCCCAACTCTGTTGACCAGAAGCCATGGCTTTCGACTTTTCCTCCTCGAGATTGCCCCATAGGAGGAAAAGCTTTTCTTTGATCGCTTCCAGCCTCCGCGGGTTGTCGCGGAGGTTGAATGCATCATCGTCAAGAAGACAATCACCATCTTGACCGCACACATATAGCTTCATCACTTCTCGGGGCTGTTGTTTGGAAGGTTTGGGCTCAACCCCCTCCACAAGAAGGCAAAACCGCCATTCCCAGCCAAATTTAGGATCGATGGCGCCGTTCTCATTGCCGAATAAGGGAGCGCTAGTGGTTTGAATCGCAAAGTCTTCTACCCTTGGGGGAAAGAAGTCAACCACCCGGACTTGAGAGTGGTAATTGACATTTTGAAAGGGGAGTTGGTAGACAATGCCGCCCGGGGCATGGTTTATGTGGGTTTCTGCCAACAAAATCTTCTCGAGAGAGAGAGTAGGCACTGTGTAATTTCTTGTTTTGACTAAATATTTATCAGCTAGTGGGCTCCTCCTCTGCATATAATCAACTCACCATGTTGATTCACCTTGATTCGTGATGCTGCTGGCATGGTCAGTTGGCCATCTTCTTTCCGAGCTTCCTTTTTCTGCTCGACTCTTTTGTTCCTTTTTTTGGCCTTTTTGGTATCTGCCTTGGGTTCGCCGTGGATCTTCCAATATTCGGTCCGACGGGTCATCAATTCTTGTACACGCTCGTCATTGGAATTCATCTTCCGGACATGAATCTTCTCCGGAAATCGTCTGTCTTCATGAACGGCAGCTTCCAAGCCACCACGGCCTTCCTTGATCCGGGCATATGTCAATAGAGCGATATCACCTGCCTTGAGGTGTTCTCGGGCATATGTGGCATGCGGCTCCCATAAAGTCACTTGAATGGTCAATTTGCCCCATGGGCCTGGCCAGTTCTTTGTCTTTTTTACATAATTAAATCGGTCCCCTTCAGGACCTGATTCCTCGTCATCTTCTCCGGGTTTCTTGTAATTGACAAGCTCCTCATTCTCGGTAAAATCTGTCAAGTACAGTACGGATTTTTCACTGTCATAAGTATTGAGGCTCACAACTTGGCCAAGTAACTGACACAATAGGCGAACCTTCGCAAACTGAATAGGAATACATGGTAACCCTCCAAATTTTGGGGCTGCGCCGGGAGCCTGAACATGAGAAGACTGCTGAAAGGCGGGTACACTGCGTGGCGTGGGTTGTGGCACAGAGATTCCTGCGGCAGATACGCGATCCAGGAGTGATTGTGCCTGGTCCTTTTCCTTCAAACTCGGCTCGAAAGGGATAGGACCACTGGTGATGAATGGGCTGGAGCTCAAACTTGGTTGCGGTCGGAAAATCACCCATGGCACATGGGAATGTTGAGAAACTACCCCTGTGGGTTTGTTATGGTAGATTGTCACCTGAATCGTATCAGCTTACTATGCTGCTGCATTCATGTATATCCACTCACCCGGATATTTCGTAGTAGGACTACATCATTGAGCTTGACATTGGGAAGGTAACTTTCATCATCATTGAAATATTTGACTTTGAGACCACCTTGCCAGGTCGGTCCATCAAAATCGTAGTCTTTGATGGTGAATGTGATGCATGCCGACGAGCCTTTGGTCCGAAAGAGTGGTAGAGTATCAACCACCACTCCTAGGACATTGACATTGAAATTCCCTTGTGAAGAACAAGCGGTGGTAATATCCACTAGATCACCTGAAGCCATGTCTTTTGCATGGAAGAAGCTTGGGTTAGACGTCCTGCAAGCTCCCGATGACAAATTACAAACCGCTCAAAAATATGTATGTCTTTGTTAATGAACATCCATCGTAGAGTTATTGCCATGAATGAACATCCAGAGAAGGAGAATTCACAAAAGCTCAAAGAGGAAGAGGTTGTTGCCCAAACCCATGGATGTAAATAAAATGGAATGGTCACGTGATAGCATCGTTTCCCCTCCCACAGAAGTCTTCTCCCCCCCACATCAGATCCCTCTCTCTTCCTTCTTCCTACTCTCCTTTCATCCCCCAGCGCGCCCACTCAACACCACCTACTACACAATCGATTCCCGCGGCGCGCTTAGTTTCTTCTTTACATTTTCATCATGGCGGAACGCTATATTCCCGAACATCGCCGCACGCAGTTCAAGGCCAAGAACCAGTTCAAGCCCGACGAGCTCCGCCGCCGCCGTGAAGAACAGCAGGTTGAGATTCGCAAGGCGAAGCGTGATGAGAACTTGGCCAAGAGACGTGGTATCCAAACCCAGGATGGTAGAATCGGTGTTGGTGGCATGGCTGCCGCCACTGAGAGTGATGATGAGGCTAGTGCTATTGAGAGTGAGGTAGGTCTTGGAAATTTTCTTTGATCCTTTTGGATTTGTTTCATTCTATATCCTCATTTGAAATTCTACGGGCTTATTGTGTGGTTGCCACCCCCTGGGTTCTTTTGAGATTTCTTTGTTTTTATGATGCGATCATCAACAAGGAATTTTTTTCACCGCCCTGTTGCCATGGCCCACGAAGCCCCTCCAAGTCGGATCTTCGAGGCCGCGCCCCACTGCAATAAAAAAAACATTGTGAAAATTACCAAGCTAACAAAATGATTTATTTAGCTCAACGTCGAGCTTCCCCAGATGGTGAAGGGAGTTTTCTCCGATCAGGTTGAGGAACAGATTCAAGCTACCACCAAGTTCCGCAAATTGCTTTCCAAGGAGCGCAACCCTCCTATCGAGCGTGTTATCGAGACCGGTGTCGTTGCCCGTTTCGTCGAGTTCCTTCGCTCGCCTCACACCCTAGTTCAGTTCGAGTCTGCTTGGGCTTTGACCAACATTGCTTCCGGTTCCGCCCAGCAGACCCAGGTCGTCATCGAGGCTGGTGCTGTCCCCATCTTCGTCGAGTTGCTTAGCAGCCCTGAGCCTGATGTTCGTGAACAAGCCGTGTGGGCCCTCGGTAACATTGCCGGTGACAGCCCTCACTGCCGTGACTTTGTTCTGGGTGCCGGTGCTTTGCGTCCCCTTCTCAACCTCATCAACGATGGTCGCAAGCTGAGCATGCTCCGCAACGCTACCTGGACTCTTAGCAACTTCTGCCGTGGCAAGACCCCCCAGCCTGACTGGAACACCATTGCCCCTGCCCTTCCCGTCCTCGCCAAGCTTATCTACATGCTGGACGATGAGGTCCTGATTGACGCTTGCTGGGCTATCTCTTATTTGTCCGATGGTGCCAACGACAAGATCCAGGCCGTTATTGAGGCCGGCATCCCCCGTCGCCTAGTGGAGCTCCTTATGCACGCTTCTACCTCCGTCCAGACACCCGCCCTCCGTTCCGTTGGTAACATCGTCACTGGTGATGACGTCCAAACCCAGGTGATCATCAACTGTGGTTCTCTTCCTGCTCTGCTCTCCCTCCTGAGCTCCACCAAGGATGGTATCCGCAAGGAAGCTTGCTGGACCATCTCCAACGTCACTGCTGGCAACTCCAGCCAGATCCAGGCAGTCGTCGACGCTGGCATCATCGCTCCCCTTATCAACCTGCTTGCCAACGGTGACTTCAAGACCCGCAAGGAGGCTTGCTGGGCTATTTCAAACGCCACTTCTGGTGGTCTCCAGAAGCCCGATCAGATCCGCTACCTTGTTTCTCAAGGGTGCATCAAGCCCCTGTGCGATCTCCTGGCCTGCCCTGACAACAAGATCATCCAGGTTGCTCTCGATGGTCTTGAGAACATCCTCAAGGTCGGAGACATGGACAAGGAGGCTGGCCAGCCCGGTGAGGCTCGTGTCAACCGCTACGCTCTCTTCATCGAAGAGGCCGGTGGTATGGAAAAGATCCACGATTGCCAAAACAACGCCAACGAGGAGATCTACATGAAAGCTTACAACATCATCGAGAAGTACTTCTCTGACGAGGATGAGGCCGGTGGTGATATCGAGGAGCTTGCTCCCCAGCAGACCCAGACCGGATTCTCTCTCGGCACTGGCCAGCAGCAACCTGGTAGCTTCAACTTCGGCAACGGCGGTGATACCATGGATATGTAAAGACTCGTCTTTCCCATGCACTATCCCCCTTTCTGTATCTTCTTCCTTTTTCAAAACCATACGTCGAAGCTGCTCCCAGCGTATCCTCGCATGGCCAGGGCACCACTGGCTACCGAGAGGCCAGGTTGCTTGCACACAACCTCGACGCCTCTCGTGCGCTTCGGCCAAGCTACTTCTCGGTCTGGCGTTGCGTCTAAACAGTTTCTGGTGCTCATTTGATTCCCTCATCTTCTCTTGTCACGAATTTCACTTCCCCCTTTTCTTTTTTTTTTGATTTCACGATAAACAAGATTCACCATCATGTATCCCCTCCCCCACCCCTTTAGCATCCTCATACACAGGCGCATTTGTTTGCCGGATCGGTTTTCTCTCTCCAGTTACGTTAATGTCCCCTGACTATGGTGTTCCTTGACGAGGCATTGGTCTCCCCAGCGGGACCTTCCTCGCTCACTGGCAACAGGGGTGTGATGGCACATTTTGCTCGTACATCGCTCATAATCTGCTCAGATCATTCCCCTGAAAATGTTATTGCGCTATTCTCGTGGTACACCTTGCAGTTCGCCAGGAAAATGCCAAATTTCCCTTGATTAATCCTTTCTTGTAGTTGTATCTCAGTAATATTCCTCTTTTTAGACAATTTCTATTTGTATTGTTTCCTTTTACACAGGACACGGATTCAATGCTGAACTCGCAAGCTTTCAATTGTTAAAACACTATATATAAAACGCCCCAAGGCAGTGAAAGATGAACTACAACCAACCCAAAAGGGGTTGCAAAGTGAACCGGAGCAAGGTCATTTCAAGGAACTATTCTCAAAATCTAACCGAAAGCGAACAGCGATCGTTGTTGCACTCAACTTTTTCCAACAGGCTACAGGGCAGGCATTCGCATCGCAATATGGCACTCTATATGTAAAATCCCTGCAAACTCAACTTCAACGTCATCAATGGTTCTATCGGACTCGTCATAGTTTTACTATGCCTATACCTCAACGATAGAGTTGGAAGAAGGTGAGCTCGCATCCCCAAAAGAGGGTCATGACTGACGTTGGCAGGCCCTTACTTCTGATTGGTGCGGTAATCCAAGCAACCGCACTTCTTACCATGGGAGGACTCGGAGTACATACTCCATCTCATTCTCAGAAGTCAGCCATTGTTGCAATGCTTTCCCTGTTCACAGTGGGCTTCAACATAGGATGGGCTGCGTTAACATACGTCGTGACTACTGAGATACCAACTCTGCGCGTGCGAGATAACTCACAGCGGATTGCGTCTGTTGCAAATGTTCTTACATTGTAAGTTAACATTGCTTTTCAACCATCATGTGGGACAGGAACGTTAACCTTTTACATCCAGCTTCGCAGTTTCGTTTAGTCTACCATATCTCATGGATTCCGGTTATGCAAACCTTCAGTCGAAGATTGGCTTTATTTATTTCTGTGTCCCTGAATGCCAAGGAAGATCATTCGAAGAAATTGACCGATTGTTCCGGAAGAAAACGCCTCTTCGGAAGTTTCACAAGCATGGAAATTCACTGGGTGGCGAGGCAGATATCACAGAGGTTTCAGGGAACAAAGAGGTTGCCTAGACCGACCAAGCAAAGTATCTTGAAGTTTTATACCCTCATAATATTACATCGCCGAAACCTGGGTTCGGCGTACTCTCGGTGTATATGGCGGGCCTTAGTCTCTTAGGCTTTTATCTCGCTACGGCCTTCTCTGTTGTTGCTCTCGCAAGGTTCTCCTAAGGATCCTATGTCAGGCTAAAGCTTACGCGTGTCCCTCCACAAATACCTAGGATCGGCAATTTCTCGCAGAAGGCTATCATCAGTGGAGTTGGCCGAGCCGTCTTTCAGCCTATGATCGCACGGATGCGGGACTTTTTATATTTGCAAAATATATTGCAGGTAGCTTAGTAGCAGAACCAGTAACAAAGCGCATGAACAGCCCTATGGCGTAATATGAGTGCCATATTGCTGCTCCGATGAAGTGACGCTAGGCTATGGATCTACAACATACTAAGACCTCAACTATGATGGTGCCATACACCCCCTAGACTGATGTCAATCGCTACGCACTTTTGGAATTTTTAGTTAGATGAATGGAATATTTAAACAAAAAGAGGCATATTTATGCTACTTCTATACTTGAGGTCGGTACAGGCGTTAAGTCTTATTCAAAACAAGCATTAGATACGCCTTCATTTACTCGGATGATGCCATTCCGCCCCCATATTACTGTCCAAAGGAAAGCTTAATAGATTGAAGTAAGAAAGATACGGAAATCCTCTCAACAATAGTGTTGTTGTAGTACACCCATAAACCTATATCACGCCTCTTTCACAGGCGTAAATTCCGCGTTCTTGATCTGCCTTTCATAGCAGATCTGGTAGGAAAACTAAGATATGAGCGCACAAATAGTCTCTGATGGAAAGAATGCTACTAGCACAGTCTCTCCAGTCGCAGAAATTGACCTGAAAGAAGAGAGGTCTTTGGTATGTCTATCAACCCTCTCCCATTTGTGTGTCTAAAATTTTGATTTATCTAACACAGGTATGGCGCCTGGATATTTTCTTCTTGACGATTGGCTTTCTAGGCTATGCATTCAAATACCTAGATCAAACCAACATTGTATGTTTATCCGCAGCCCTGAGGAATATTCTATGTTAACGAGCTACTAGAGCAATGCCTATGTTTCCGGAATGGAAACTGATTTGGAACTTTATGGAAATGAGCTGAATTACTTTACCACTTTCTTCAAGTAAGTCGCCGATGCTCTTTTTGTGAGACATTCTTATTAACCATAATAGCATTGGTTACATGATCATGCTATATCCCTCATGCATCATAATTTCCCACATCGGACCGTCAGTTTGGCTACCCACCTGCGAGGTAAGTAAAAATCAATTTATACTACCTAGGTATTCAGAAACGCTGACAAAGCTTTTAGATCATTTGGGGTATATTGACTTGCTGTTTATCCACGGTCACCAGCGCAAAACAAGTACAGATGCCCGATCCGTTCATTTAATCTCAGTTGACGGTATTTTCTATAGGTCTATGGCCTTCGCTTCCTTATCGGCTTTTTCGAAGGCGCAACTTGGCCAGGTTATTTTACCATCATCAGGTCAATACTCTAATCCACTATCAGAAGCACACATGCTAACTCTGCGCTTTAGCCAATGGTACTTGCCTCATGAAATGGCTCTCCGAATGAGTATTTACAATATTGCACAACCCGTTGGGGCTATGTTATCTGGCGCGATGCAAGGTGCACTTTCAACTAATCTGGAAGGTGCCCTTGGTCGAAGCGGCTGGCGATGGGCATTTATCATCAATGTAAGCATTGTATTGGCGATTTTCGATAGACTTGTGCTAATTCTACAGGGGGTTTGCACTATATTCATCGCCTTACTAGCTTTCACGCTTTTACCAGGCTTTGTACGAACCTACTTCTTGTCATTCCCTGTTTTAAACTGACAGGACATATCATATCTAGCCGGATCGCCCAAACCCCCTTGCCAAGTTTTATCTCAGGCCTCGAGATATTGGTATGGAAATGCACACTGAAATTTATATTTAGCAAGTGTTTGCTAATATTCCATTGAAGCCATCGCTGAAGAGCGAACTCGCAGAATAGGCCGTGACCCGCAGGTTGGGATCAACATCAAAACATTCCTGCGCTGCTTCAAATTTTGGCATGTCTGGTTGTTTTCAAGTAATTAAATTCAGGGTTTCGTTTGAAGGAAAGTCGGATGATCTAACCAACGATTTTTTATAGTTGCCTGGGCTATCGGAACCAATACTACGCCTTCAAATTATTTCAACCTTTGGCTCAAGTCCCTCAAAAATCCCGATGGGAGCTTGAAATAGTGAGTATTACTTCCTCTCTTAAGCACTTGCACTAATAAGCCATCTAGCTCGGTTGGTATGCTCAATTATCTACCAATTGCAGGCCAAGCACTCCAACTAGTTGCGGAGCTCTTGTTTAGCGGCTTCAGTGATTATCTTGGTACTCGGTTGCCATTTTTGCTTCTTCACTCAGTAAGGCATTCCAGCAGAGTCAAGAACCCGATACTAATCCTATTTTCAGGTGATTAATATCACCTCACTGATTATTTTGATAATACGACCTGAAAGTGAGAGTGCCTACATGGCTGGCTGGTATATGAACTATGTTGGAGCGTGAGTATTACATTCCTCTTGATACACATGTACTTCATTTCTTCTAACTGGGACAGGGTATCGACTATGCTTCTTTGCGCTTGGGCATCTGCACATCTCGAGAAAGAACCTCAAGTTCGAACGGTTCTGTTCGCGACTGGAACTCTGTTCTCATACTTGTTTAGTGCATTCCTACCTATTGCCGCATATCCCGCCGCGCAGGCACCCCATTGGCATATTGGTGCAAAGCTCTATCTTGGTCTTTCTGTCTTCGATGCTGCACTTTTTGTTAGTATCTTTTTCGCCTTCAAATGGCAAGCGAGACGCGACAAGAGAAAGGAGAGGGCTGAGCAAGGTGATTCGTCCGACCTCTGAAGGAAGCCTCAAAACAACATGGAAAAAAAATCAAGAATTTGAGGAGGGGTGTCGTCATGTCGGAAAAAAAACTTCATCATCTATAGATCTATCGGTATAGTCTAGTGAAGTCCGACAAAGGCGTCGGCTACGACGCGTGGGGGCGACATGTAGTGATGACATTTACAAATTCACACAGCCTTTTGAAGGGATTTTTGGGCAAATGTTGCTTAAGCGAGATACTTTATTAGGCTGGCCCGTCTAGGAACGCGGTTTCTTATTTCTGGGCTGCCTTGTGAGGGCGTAGTGAGGAAAGTCGACGTACTATGTATGTAGCTAACGTATTTCACATACGAGCCGGCCACACAAACGAGCCGGCCACCCCACCCAAAACGCGTCAATTAATTTAACCCCTTCTTCTTCAACCACCTACCATGCCACCAATTCGCCCCCGATCCTCTAAAAATTTAGAGGAGCAAGAGGGTCGAATCTTACTAGCTATCCAGGCTTTTAAGAATCAAGAAATCTCTTCAATTCGTGAAGTGGCCCGCCGTTTTGGTATACCCCGTACAACACTTCAAGACCGACTACGTAGCCACCAACAACGCGCGAATTCTCGCGCTAATTTATCTAAATTGACTGAAATTGAAGAGGAATCTCTTGAAAAATGGATTCTCTCTATAGATCTACGTGGAGTAGCCCCCCGGCCCTCTTCTGTACGAGGAATGGCGGATCTTCTCCTTGAAAAGCGTGGAACTACCCCAGTTATTTCGGTCGGCGAAAACTGGGTTACAAACTTTGTTAAAAGACGTCCTCTCCTCTCCTCCCGATTCTCGAAACGGTATAACTACGAGTGTGCGAAATGTGAAAACCCTAAAATCATTACGGAGTGGTTTGATTTAGTTTAAAAGACAGTCTTTTAATATGGAATCGATCCCGACGATATCTATAACTTTAACGAGACTGGTTTCGCGATAGGATTGACTATAACTGCGAAGGTTATTATAAGGAGTGAATACTACGGTCGGCGTTCACTTTTATAACCTAGAAATCGAGAGTAGGTGACTGTTATTGAGTGTACGAATGCTTCTGGCTGGGCCCTTCCTCTGTGTGTGATTTTTAAAGGTAAAGTCTTTATTGAATCATGGTTCGACGGCCTTCTAGAGGATTAGCGTTTCGAAGTTAGTCCTAACGGCTAGACCTCTAATAAAATTAGACTTCATTAGCTTAAGAAGCTCTTTATTCCTAGTACTTCTTTATATATAAAGGGGGTATTGGCTTTTAATACTTAACAGCCACGGAAGTCATTTAACGCCTAAATTCGACGAAATTTGTAAGCAAAATAAGGTAATACTAATCTGTATACCAGCGTATTTATCTTATCTTTTATAACCTCTGGGTATTAGTTGTTTTACGGTATTAAAATAATCATACGGTCGGATGGTTAAGATAAAAATATGTACCGGGATCAATTATATTAATAAACTTGACTTCCTTAAAGCTTACCCCCTCGTACGAATTAAAGCTTTTAAATCGGAGACTATTAAAAATAGCTTTGGAGCAGCTAGTTTAGTACCATTTGTACCTAACTAAGTGATTTCAAAGCTTAATATCCGGCTTCGAACCCTAACCCCCCCTGCTAGCTAGGGTAGTGAATTAAGCCGGAATTTTACCCTAAAAACCCCTATTACAGAGAAAGAACTACGTCAATAGGCTTTATCAATCAAAGCTTTACTCCGTATAAGATCTCGAAGCCCGCCTAGCCCGTCAGATCGTGTACTAAACCAGCTTGTGAAAGGCTTCCGTCTTACAATGCAAGGTACTATCTTACTCGCCAAAGAAAACAAGGAATTACGCGCCGCTAACGAGAAGCAGAAGCAAAAGCGTACTCGATCCCGAAGGCAGATACCTGCTGAAGAAGGCCTCTCAGTTCAAGAAGCATCTGTATTAATTATGTAGTAACAGGAAGCAACTGAAGCACCTCCCCCCGGCCCTAGCATACCTAGAGAATCGGCTATTCAGTCACGTACGCGGCCCCCCCGGGGGTGTGGAATATGCAGATTGCCAGGGCATAGAAGAGAAACATGTCCAGATAGACCACTTAGTTAGTTAAATTAATTCAATGGCGTTATGGTTGAGATAAATGTATTTAAATTTATTAAGTTGGGGTGTGTGGCCGGCTCGTTTGTGTGGCCGGCTCGTATGTGAAATACGTTAGTTAGTTACAGATCTTGGCAGGGGATTTGTCCTTGATATTCAGGCATCAATATGCTGACTCATGACCCCATGTCTATACACCGCTCAGAAGGTTCTGCCGCGTCCGCGGAATTTTTTTTATCTTTTCTCTTGAGGAATTAGACCGCAATCTGCAACTGCACGATTCGGTTTTGCCAGTTTAAGAATGGCGCCTATCAAGCGCAAGGGGAATGCCCCCGAAGAAAATACTGCTCGTCAGCCCCAAAAACGTGCTAAAGTTGGAGCGGAGGAGGTCAAGAAAGATCATAAGAAGTCAAACGATGCCACCACATCCACTGCTGGGAAAGCTTCAGAACTTTCTGTGCTGCGCGACGACGAGCCCTCGTTCCCTCGTGGTGGCGCAAGTGTTCTAACCCCATTGGAGCGCAAGCAAATTCAGATCCAGGCCAACAGAGATGTTTTGTTCGAGCAGAAAGAATCTGGAAACAAGAAACTCTCCCAGAAGACGCCTTCCAAGGAATTCGCCGAGGAAAGCGACGACGATGTTGAAATGGAGGACGAAGAAACTACCGCGACTACCAAGAAATCGCGCAAGAAGAAGTCAAAGGGCAAGAAGTCTGCAGACAAGGAAACCGATGACAAGCAAAATGTTCGCATCGAGGGTCTTAGCTTCAAGGTACGTGCTGGAAAAAGTCTTCATATCGCATCACTCTAACAATTGCAGCGTATTGTACCCGGAGCCATGATCCTGGGTCAGGTCTCAAGTATCAACGCCCACGACATCGGCCTTTCGCTGCCCAACAACCTTACCGGCTACGTCCCTCTCACAGCCGTTTCGAAGGGCCTCGAAGACAGACTTGAGAAGATGTTGAACGACGAAGGCGAAGACGACGATGCCGAGGACAGTTCCGACGACGAGTCGTTTGACTTGAAGGATCATTTCTATTTGGGTCAATACCTGCGGGCATTCGTTGTGTCTACTGGCAACAACCCCGATGATCCCAAGTCAAAGAGCAAGAAGCGAATTGAGCTTTCTGTCGACCCTAGACAAACAAACACTGGCTTCTCAAAGTCCGATCTTGTTGTGAACTCGGCTGTCCAAGCGTCCGTTGTCAGTGTGGAAGATCACGGTGTGGTCATGGATCTTGGCATTGAAGGTTCAGAACTGAAGGGCTTCATGTCCTCCAAGGAGACCGACCCCAGTGTGGATTATTCTAGCATCAAGGAAGGCTCTGTTTTCCTTTGCATGGTCACCGGCCAGAACCCCAGTGGCAATGTCATCAAGCTGTCCTCCAACTTCCAAACATCCGCCTCGATTAAGAAGTCCAACTACCTCAGCTCGGCCCCTACCATCAACACTTTCCTCCCCGGTACCGCCGCAGAAATTCTTCTCACGGAAGTCACATCGAACGGAATGATCGGAAAGATTATGGGAATGCTCGACGCAACCGTTGATCTGGTTCAGTCTAGTATCAACGGCAAGATTGATCTGGAGAAGAAATACAAGATTGGCGCAAAGATTAAGGGTCGTATCATCTCAACTTTCCCAGCTGCTGAGCCGCTGAAGGTCAGCTTTTCTATGCTCGACCACGTCCTCAAGCTCTCTTCCGATGCTCGCGGTCCCGGTTCTTCTGACGATGCGCCTGCTATTTCTGCAATCATCCCCGAGGTCAAGGTCGTGAAGGTTGATCACGGTCTGGGTGTGTATGCTCGCATTGGAGAGACAAAACACATGGGCTTCGTTCACATGTCGAGACTTTCTGATGGCAAGGTCGAAACAATTGATGAAACTTCTGGAGCTTTCCAGCTGGATGCTGTCCACGAGGCAAGAGTTATCGGGTACAACTCGATTGATAATCTCTACATTCTCTCATTTGAGAAGAGCGTTATCGAGCAGCCCTTCCTTCGCGTTGAGGATGTGAATGTGGGTGCTATTGTGAAAGGAAAGGTTGAGAAGCTTCTAATCGGTGCCGATGGTATGAATGGATTGATTGTCAACCTGGCCGATGGAATCACCGGTCTTGTTCCCTCCATGCACTTTGCGGATACTATGCTTCAGTTCCCAGAGAAGAAGTTCCGCGAGGGCCAGAAGCTTTCGCTGAGAATCCTCTCTGTTAACCTCGAAAAACGCCAAATTCGTTTGACCCTAAAGAAGAGCTTGCTCAACAGCGAGTCTACTATCTGGAAGGACTACAAAGATATCACCCCTTCGGCTCAGTCTCCCGGTACCATTGTCAACCTTCAGAGTCATGGTGCTGTTGTGCAGTTCTACGGTGAGGTCCGTGGCTTCCTTCCTGTCTCCGAGATGAGTGAAGCCTACATCCAGGATCCGGCCCAGCACTTCAGACTCGGCCAGGTTGTTAATGTTCATGCTTTGAGCGTGGATGCATCCCTTGGAAGACTTGCTGTCTCGTGCAAGGACCCCTCGACATTTACCGAGAAGTATCGTGAGGCCTTTGAAAACCTTCATCCCGGCCACCTTGTTACTGGAGTTGTCTTCGAGAAGTCTAATGATGATGTCCTTCTCAAGCTTGACGAGTCAGGCCTCGTCGCTCGTCTCGATGCTGAGCACCTCATCGACGGCCCTCCATCTAAGCAAAATTCGATGCTCTCTAAGCTCCGCGTGGGCCAGAAGCTGAACGACCTCTTGGTCCTCAACATCCAGCGCGCCCACCGCCTTATCAAGGTTTCCAGCAGGGCTAGCTTGAAGAAAGCTGCCAAGCAGAAGAACATTCCGGGCCAGTTCGAGGAAGTCCAAGAGGGCTCCCTTGTCACAGGATTCATCCGTAACATTACACCTGATGGTGTATTTGTTGAGTTCCTCG